GGGCCAAGCGCTTAGAGCGCGCTAAGAGCAGCCATCGGCGACGCCGCTCCTTCTCGAACTCGGGCTGCCCTGTCGTCTCTCTGTCCTCCTCCAGCCCCTCTTCGCGGTGCAGCTCCTCGGTGGAGACGGGCGGTGGTAAAAGTTCGCCCTCGTCGCCCTCATCGTGGACACCGTCTATGGCCCCGAACTCCTCGTGCTCCTCTGCCTCCTGCTCTGCTGCAAAGACCACGGAGGAACTCAAATCAATCAGCTCTTCATGGGCTCCCTCAAGCAAAGGTAACAGCAACTCCGGGGACCACGTCGCCGTAGAGGAAGAGCCGCTCGCGGGAACGTTCTGCAATTCCTGCTTGATTCGGCCAGAAGAGGTCAGGATCCCGGACACAAGGTGTCTAGGACCGGTGGTGGTTTCCAATCGCCCCTTGTCAAAGCAGCAGGCCTCGAGCTTCTCCGAGGTAAGGGGGTGCTCGCTGCCGTAGAGCTGCTCCACCAAGGGCTCTCCAACACCACTTGCCTTCCCAGCTCGTGGCGTCTTTTCACCAGACGTGAGATCCAATCCACCACCGGGTACCATAAGCGACGTTCGGCCAGGATGCGGTGAACCGCGGGGTTGTTCTTGGTGAGGTCGGTGACTGGCCACTTGCTCCAGACAGCGGTGGTAGGGAAAACCGCCGTCAGGTGGGGATCCTCTGTCTCAATTCGCTGCCACAAAGCGTCACGCACCTTGCTGTCCAAGACATTCCCGCCGTCGAGTTCCAGGTCCACGGGCGCCGCCACCGGCAAACCAAGTCCTGAAGCCACGGCGGTCAAGGCGGCGCCAGCGAACAGCTCAAGGAGAAAGTGTCTGCAACCACGGGGCAGAAGCTGAGACGTGCGGTGGTACTGCGGTTTCGGCCGCAGCTGTTGCCACATAGTCGCGTCGAGCCGGGTCAGGCCGTTGTTGTGCTCGTCCAGCTGTCGCTTTTGCCCCTTTGTCATGGTCACCGGCCGCTCCTCGTCGAACTTGGCGTGGGCCGCCAGACCTTCTGCATCATCCTCCGCCGGGCCGGCCTGGCGTTCTCCTCGAAGTTCCTCCAAAGAGCGGTAAAAGACAGTGCGGCCGTGCCACAGACCCCCGGCATGGAGGGATACATCCTCCTGTCGCCGGCCTTCCATGTGTCCCGGTGCTCGACCTTCTCGCCGCTCGCGCAGTTCACCGCAATGGTGTGCCGAATGGGAAAATCCCCAATCAACTCGTCAATGTCCTCGTCGGTGCTCGCCTCCAGGTCTGGTCGGAAAAGGTTGTGCGAGGCAAGACGTGCACCCTCACCCAGGTATCACCTAGCTGCTCCCAGTAGTCCGTCTCCTCGGTCTCGGCGTCCAGCTGCTCCTCGGCGGCCTCCGCGGACATAGGAAGCAGATGGACCGCTGGCAACCCGTCGCGGTCGACAACCTCGATGTTCTGACCAAACAGCTTGCTGTGCACGACGCCGGCCTCGGAATCAATCACAAGTCCCAGTTGCTTCTGCGCGCCATAGCTCAGCAGAAGCGGCGCGTCGGAGTCGGCCAGCTCTGTGCTCAGCACCGTCCCGTTGGCGAAGCCGCCGTCGGCGAGCTGAATGCAGATGTGCAGCTGCCGCTTTCCAAGGGACTGGACCTCGCCGCCAATGCCCTTCAGACAGGCTCCTTGGGAGGAGTCTAGGGCACACACTCCAAGCCACACGACTCCATATAAGCAGCCATCCACCTCGACCCGTGGCATGTTTGGTTGCACCCGGTGTCAAGAACAGCAAGAAGAGAGTCCTCGGACTGGGGTTCTGCCACGGCCATGTGGGCGGCGGCTCGTCGACGATGTTCACGTCCACGGCGGGCATGGATGTACCGGGAGAAGTCCTGCAACGACTTAGCCTGAATCGTGCCCCCTTGGCTGAGCACCCAACTGCAGTAGTCCGGGTAGCTGTTGTACACTTCTCCAAAGGTGCTTCCTTTGTGCTTGCCCGAGTGGAGCACGGTGTTGTCGTCGATGCCTTGCGGTAGATCTGGGCCAGGTGCCTGCTGGGATTGAGGTTGAGCTTGTGGTTCTTGAGGTTGCGCTTGTGGTGCCTGAGGTTGAGCTTGTGGCGCCTGAGGTTGCGCTTGTGGTGCCTGAGGTTGCGCTTGTGGTGCCTGAGGTTGCGAAGAGATCGACCACGAGGCTGCTGCGGCTACCCTCTGTAGATAGACCCGGGTGCAGTTTGCCACGATCTCTGACAGGCGCTCGATCGGCACGGGAAGGCCTCCGCTCTCCTGGACCTGCACCACAGTAGCCGCCAGGTCCATGATCTGCTGCGCGTGGGAGCCGTTGACCCCAATGGTGTAGGCCATCGGTGGGGCCGGCACCGGCCGACCTTCTTCTTGCCTTCCGGATCTGCTCAGCCCACAGTCCTTACAGAACCACCTCCAAACGTGATGGTTGGTGCCTTGCCGGGTCACGCGCTCGCGCTTGCAATCCTCGGGCTTCTTGGCATAGCGCGCGCCTGCGCCCGAAGACGCCTTGGGTTGCTGGGCCTCGGCTTCCTTGCGGGTCTTCTCCAGTACCAAGCCGCAGTTCTTGCACGTCTTCAGGTAGAAGTACTGGTTGGTCCCCTTGGTGGTCGTGCGCTCGTGCTTGCACTGCGGTGCTGCCGTCTTGGGTTCAGCCTGGCTTCTTGGCGTCGAAGGTGGCGTGGGGGACCAGGGCGACGATATACCCGACGGCGGCGCTGCTGCTTCTGGTTGCTCTGTCGGCGCCGGCTCCAAGGGAACGGCCGGCTGCTGCCCCGAAGCTGTTCCCGCCGCCTGGTCCTCTAGAGGCATAGGACCCTGCGATAAAACCGGCTCGCCCGTCGGCTCGCTCACATCCATCTGGCGAACCGACTCCAACATCTGTTCGATGACCACGTCGCTTGAGGCACGAAGGGCCTCCATCAGCATCTGGCTGTCCGGGTCCACGGCCTCCACCATTGACCAGCTCCTCGTCGAAGTTCCGGCGACGGAGCCAACTCGGCCGTTGCAGGAACAATGGCTGTCGGCCATCCGGCGGTCACTCTTGCCTCGTCCTCGCCCTCGGCCGGCCGGGTTGCTGGAGCCAAAGTCACCGTAGAGGAGCTCCAGGAAGAAGACGCCGCCGGGGACGAAGAGCTCGCTGCGAAGGGCGCCGGTGTGCTCATCGACGGTAGCGCCGCCTTGGGCCCCGTCCAGCTCAGCAGGGAAGACAAAGTAGGAGGTGCCACGCCGTCCAGCAACCGTAGGCACCGGAGGTGGGTCCAGGCCGGTCGGTGGTGGAACCCGGCTGAAGTTCCCATTGTAGGCCATCATCGCTGTGGGGCGGTCGGCCGGCTCGTCGGAAACCGCAAAGTACACAGGCCGGGCCTTGGAAGACGACGACCGTCCCGCGCTCTTGGCCGACTTTGCCCCTTTTCCAGACAAAGCCACCGAAGTCGTAGAAGGCGACCCCTTTCTCACAGGCGACTTTCCCGCACTCCTTGGGCACTGCGGGTCGTTGCTCCAGTGCCCTCTCTGGCCGCACTTTCTGCACGTGGTCTTCGCCTTGAGGGCCGAGATTCGGGCCTTGCGCTCCTCGATAGAGAGCTCACCTCGGACTTCATATCTCCTTCCAGGCTGGGCTCCCGCGAAGCCGGCGTGGCCTTTGCCGCTGGCTTGCTGTCTCAGGTAGAAAGCCTCAGCCTCCGCTTGCAAAACCTCAGCCGCATACTCCGCCGTCTCCTGGTCCGCTCCTTCCTCGAGACCTTCAGCGGCCATCGCGGCGAAGGCGTGGAGAACCGGGTCCTCGGCATCCACCAGTTCATATTCCGAGAGGTAGGTCTCGGCCATGGGGCTGGCATCGTCCTCGAAACCGCCAAGGCTCTGGCTGGCTGCCTCCCAGGTCTGGTCCGAATATCCCAGGTAGGCCTCCTCAAAGTCATCGTGGTAGGTCTCCTCCACGAAGTAGCCCTGGCTGTGCTTGCCTTTGCCCTTGCCTCCTTTGGCGCCAAAAGGGCGCTGAGGAAACGGCCTCCGGGAATGAGGCTGCCGCTTCTCCTTCACGTGGATCTGGCCGTGCTGGTTCAGCAGCTCATCACAGACCCCCTGCACGGTCACCTTCTGGTTCAGGGAGGTCCTGATCATCAGCATGTGGTCCTCGGACACCCGCGCGTTGGTGAGGATCTGCTCTGCAAGAATGATGTCGGGCAGCTGAATCTCCGCATCGAGGTCGGTGAGCATGCTCCACCAAGCCTTGCGCCGGAGGACATACACCGACATCGGCTCACCGTACTGCCTCGAGAGAACACCATTCTCCCTTGCACCTGCCATGTACAGCTCGCGTACTTCCTGCTGACGACGCGGGCGAAGCGAGGTGGTGAGCTGCTTCACGATAAGCCCCGGGCCTTTCTCTCCGGCCAAAGCTTCCATGTCCATCTGCTTGATAATGTGCAAGGCGGGGCCGCGCAGTCCCTCTATAAGTCTGACCCCAAGAGGGCCCAGTTTCTTGAGCTCGCCCTGGTCCATGGACTTTTCCTTCAACTCCTTCATCTTCACACGAAAGCTGTACTCTTGGAGTTGGTGGACCGCACCATCATAACGAGGGATGCCATACTTGCCTTCAGTAGATTCGCTCTCGGAAACTTCCATAAACTTCTGCCATGTTAGGCTCTCCAGCAGTGCCATGGGCCGCCGAAGCAAGAGGACTTAAAGACCTAAGTCTAGCCTGCAGTGGTATGAAACTAGGCACCCAAAAGGTCCCTAAGGAGCTCTCGGCTCCGCTGCCAATCTGAAAAGAAAGCAGCCGAATGCACATGTGAAAGGCAATCACACCTTTTCGCGTTGGCTTGGGCCACGGTCGTGTCGTATGAAGCTCTGCCGCATCCACATCAGGCTTGCAAGTCCTGCTGACCCTCTGCATCAAAAGAGCTAGAATTCACACTGGGACCTTTGTGCACCCTGTGCAGTTGATGTGCAGAACGGTGCCCAATTGAGCAAGCTTTCAAGCCCAAAGACTCTGAGACTTAGAGCACCTCGTCGACCTCAGGATCAATCCGATCCAGCCGCTCCAGCTCGCTCTGTGGGACTCTCTGGTAACGCTGCTCCTCAACAACCTGTCATGCCCGAGGCAACGTTGTAAGTGCAGCTCAGTAGCATTGTCGTGGAAACGCATCACACAAAGTCGTGTCAAACCCGACGTGTTTCAGGCCCTGCACGACCAGTCAAGACATTCCATGAAGCTTTGAAGGGCGCAATGCTCCCAAAGTGGCCCGAGCCCTCGTAAAGCGAGACGGCCAAAACGGCCCAGCGAGCTTCCAGCAACGGCGACAGCCGTGGCCTCCACAAAATCAACGGCCGACACCACGGCCCGTAGGTCCCCGTACGTGTAGCTGATTGTAGCTGGCTACGGGCCGTGAGACGTCCTGGGTTCGGCGACAACGCACAGACGGGGCGCCTGATGGACTCTGCCATCATTGCGGGCTTGCAAGCCATCTCCGATGTCCCTGTGCCACTTCTCTCTCTCGCTCTCTCTCTCGGGACTGGTTGGGGCAGGGGTCGGGCTTTGTCAGGCGGGGCCAGTGGATGGGAGGGACTTGATTGAAATTGAGCCCTTATCTGTGCCCGCATTCGTGCTGCCTGCGTTTGCACAGATGTGCTAACATCGATCTGCGCTCGCCGGAAGCGTGTCTCTCACGCAAGAAGTTCGGCCTTGGCTGGCTGCAGATGGCGTGGCCTCGCTCTGCATACAGGCACCGGGCATAGAATTCGCGGCTCCAGCACTGCAAACGGCAAAATGTCGAAGGTGCTGCTTGAGTGTTGTGCATGTTTGCGGCACCACTTGTTCCTGCAGATAGTGATCAGACGTTTCGACCGCCGTGCTACGACACCTCGAGAAAGCCTGCGGTCAGGCCTGGCTCGGCCTGGACCGCCAAGAAGGCGTGGTGGCGTGGCTCACGTGGCTCAAACCTCGAAGCAACAAGCCCATACAAGCCCATGCTCGCTCGAGAGCGCCAGCAACGCTTCGCCTGGGCCTCCGGCTTCCGGAAACACTCGGGGTTGTTGCCACGGCGCTGGGCCCGCTCGGCGAAGCCGGAGCTGCCGCTGCCGCGCACGGGCGGATCGGAGGACCTCAGCAAAAAAATCAAGGCGCACCGAGCTGGCTCTGTGCCGTGGACATTTCACCTGCGAGGTCTCTGCTGGTGCGCAAGACCGATGCCATGCGGCCTGTGTCCATCCATGAAACTATCACTAGCTCGGCAGTACACACATCTCGCCGCCGGGAACTTGTTCAATCAATGTCCTTGCCAGGGCGCGGCCCTTCTTATTCGCAGGCGTACTGGCTGCAGACACCTAGGCAATCGTGAGCGTGGTTAAGAACAAAGGTTTTCTTCGCCTTTGCATACCAGTTGCTGTCTCCTATAGATTTGGATGTGCATTCCAATGTTGTCCAGAATAAACTTGGCATTCAAGGAGCTCTGGATTCCAGAGGCTCGGCCGCTGTCTGGCTTCCGAACGTGAACTCCAGTCTGTCAAGAGGTCATACAGAAGTCACCTTCTTCGCAGAGCAAACTTTCAGAGAAGACTCTGCTTTTGCAGGCCGCGCCCGCAACTGTCCTCTAAGTTCTGTTCTGCCACCAATGCATGTACGTACTACAACCACACCAAGGAAGAAGAGAGCGAATCTGCTACCGTGGGTCCCGGCTGTCCCGGGACCAAACGAAGCACAAAAAGGTGGGGACTGCACCTGCGCCTCCATGGCCAAGCGCTTGGCCATTGCCTGGCCAGGACCCAGGGTTCCAGCAGAAGTGTTGGAAACAAGATGTGAGAGCTGTCGTTAGGACTCAAAGGGTTCGGAATGCAGGGGTCTGGCTTGCCAGCATTCAAATCTCTCAGGACCGGTGTGCATGCAGTTCGAACCACCATCAGTGGTTCAGACGTGCTGCAGTAGTTACTAGGCACTGGGGCCCTTCTTCTTTTCCGTGTACCCAAGCTTGCCTCCAGCTGCTGCTTGGGAACTCCCAGCGGCGCAGGCCCTCTGACCGGGGGTGGCACGCCTCCAGCGTTCAGAATTGCGGTTAGCAGATCCGAAGTCCGAAATTCCAACACTCCAATCCGATCTGTGACTGTGACGATGGTGGCCTCAGTTCTTACACAAACCCACACCATCAGCAAGGATCTGCAAATCCATGCAGAAACACTCCGAAGATGCTCTACAGCTCAGAGATTTCCCAGACTTAGCTGTGGCCAAGCCCGAGCCTCTTTTCGGTGCCAAAGCTTGTAGCAACCCGGCCGTGGGGAGTGCTGGGACTGCTGGGACCTGTCAGACCAGGCGAGATAGGCGGTCTTCCACTTTCGGTCTTGTTAAATTGTAGACATCTAGAACTTAGAAGCTTGAGAGTTGATGGCAGGCCACGCCGCAGTCTGGATGACTTGTCAAACCTTCAGACACGGACATGGCACTCTTCAAGCTTTCAGGACGGTCAGCCAGACGTAACACAAACGATGCAATGCTGGGGTCGCTGGGGATTACGTCCAGGTAGTGTGCAGTAATGTGCTGAGCACCCGCCTGAACTTGTGGCGAGAAGGACAAGCCCTGCCAAGCAAGGGGAAGGTGAGAAAGCATCTGAGCTCGAACGTGCCCTTTCTGATGGCTGTGGGAGTATCTGTGCACAAGGATCGACCCAGGCATCATGTTACCAGTTCTGCAGAACTGTTGGGTGAAACGTGAAGACCGTACATTACTCGGGCTGCGGACGCAGCAAGCGCATGAAAGACCAGCGCGTGTCGGGGTGTTCGCAGGGTGTTATACGGTCCGTGGCAACTGAAACGGGCAAATCGACGCGTGTCCAAGCCTCAGCCCGAGCCGCCGTGGCCAAGCCCAAGCTGGTCGGAGCATAGGCCTCAGAGAACTGCGAGCTTCGACGGATCTGGGCGAGCTGTCCCAACCGCGGGCCCCGGGCCTCCACCACAGAAGCGCATCCGGGACTCTTCATGAAGGCTCAACAAGACACTGCTGATGCTGGGCTTTATTCAGGGCTTCACCGTGTACTTGCTGTCGTAGAACGAGGAGAAGATATGTATAACTTATATAACTGGACGTTCCGCAGTTGCTCCACACTTCCACGATGGGATCTTGCCGAGGTGCGCTGTAGTACCCAAACTGTCCTGCTCTTGATGAAGAAGTCTACAAGCTTCAGCTGTGAAGCTGCTGTCATATCGCGAATTCAGAGAGCTGTCTGGCGGTCTTGGGAAAAGTCACGCCCTTAATATCAAAGGACCGAACCGACTCCAGTTTCTGAATGCCTAAGCTCCACCAGAAAAGCTTACTCTTTCTTGAGCCTTGCATTGAAGAGCAGTGGGGAAGGGCGAGCAAATCCCTGCGGCATCATGCCTGCATGAAGCCTCATGCCGGAATCTGATGACTAGAGGTGCACGACCACGTGGCCATCTTGCAACAGTGGTGGTCGGCCCATCTTGTTTTCTCTCTCGACCCTAGTCGACACCAACATGGCGAGGGAGCGCTGCACATGGCAGGAATCAATGCGTGTGGCAAGACCGGCAGGTGCAACATATGGTCCAGGATAGGATGCATTGCGAGCACAACGGGAAGCGATTTAAATGTTTAGAATCTAAACATGCATGAAGGCAAGTCACCACTGCACATTACCACATCACTTCTGGCAGAACCTTGTCAGACACCCGCCTTCTCGTACGTGCGAAAATGACGACCCAGGACGTTCAAGTGTGAGGCTACAAAGATTCGCCTCGGCCCCGGCCGAAGCGGTCAGAGGTTCCTATTCGGATTCCCTCTCTTCCCCACCTCTTAATCCCCTCCCCACTGACCCCCACCCCCCAAAAGGGCCATCGTGGGGGGGGGGG